AAAAAAAAAAACTTTAGCTCAAATAATTTAAAAGAATTGGCTATAGTATTTTAAATGTAGATAATTTGATTATGAGAAAATACTACTACTACTACTATTGATAATAATAATAATAATAATAATAATAATAATAATCATAATAATGATACAGAATAAATGTTATAAAATTTAGGTACAGCTAATTAGTTATATAAATATATAATGTATAAAATTTATTATTTTATTACTTTTTATATAATTTCTGAAAATTACTTTTTTAATTAATCAATTATTTGTTTCAGCCTCCAATGATTTTCTGAACTCGTCGATTTTTATTTAAATAGATATAAAAGGCAAAAATTAAAATATTTAAGGCGAAATATATTTATAATAACATACATGTATATAATATATATATATATATATATATATATATATATATATATTTATATTACTCAGCACTATAAAAAGATGCATAAAATCCTCAAATAGCTCCCTAGTTTACTGCACTACTTAGAATAATAATTTAATAATAAAGAATTTATCCTGTTTATGTATCAAGATATTTTACTCACGTTTTTTATAAAAAAAAATCCCTCGAAGTCCGAACACAAAAGCTACAGCGTTTATTCGCTTTTCTCTGATATTAAAATAAATAAACTCCACCGAATATATTTTAAACACTTTGTTTACTGATGCACGAAGTCTCAAACTAGGCACCAAAATCCGCCATCTTGATCAGGTCCAGGCAGTAAAACCGTCCGTGTGGAAACATGAACAAAGGCAAAGGTTCCGCTTAGTGACCTGCTGCTCTATATAAATTAAAACACCACCGTTACAGTAAACATTTAAAAGTGTATCTTTATTTAAAATTACCTCGAAATAAAAACAAGAAGAAAAGCATTTTCGTACACTAATATATCGATTATTGTGATTAATTTAAATCGCATGTTCAGAAACGCTGCTGCACACGATGTGAGGTGATACCTCACATCACCACTAGATGGCAGCATTTTATTATTTTTATTTTTATTAATCACGTTCGGTGGTCTGC